CACACACACACACACACACACACACACACACACACACACACACACACGGGTTACCCGGAATCTCCATAAGGAGTCTTTCCTCAAGGAAGGAGCCCACCACCTGGAGAGCAGCGTGATCCAGGACTTTTTCATTTGTAAGCAGCAGAAACCAAGCCCAAACTGGCTTCAGTAAAGGAAGAAATGTATTGGTTTACGTAACTGAAAAGTCCAGAAGTCGATTTTTCCAGTGTGCTTCAGGCATGGCTGAATCCAGGTGTTCAAACAACATTGTCAGGATTCTGCCCCTCTCCGTCTCCTGGGCTGGCTTTCCACTAGGTGAGCTTCACTGTCGGGATTGCCATCTCCATCAGGTGGCGAAGGTGACCACCACAGTTTTTGTCTTGCAGCTGCCCTGCTTAGCCACTCAGTAGACAGGGTGTTTCTTCCTTGGCACCTCCCAGAAAAGTCCTGGCCTCACTACTGAAACTCCCAAGGTCACGTGCCTCTCCCTAGACCCACCACTGCTACCAGGAGGATGAAACACTGACTGGCAAACCTTGGTCATCCGCCTGCTCTGGGGCTAATAGGGAGGTTAGCCCCACGGAACCTTCCGGACTGAAAGTGGAGAACCCAGAGGAACAGGACTGCTCAATGCTGGGAAGGCAAGGCCAGAATTTCCCAAGAAAGCTGGAAGCCCTCCAGTCTGAGCCACGCCTACAGCGCCTCAACCACGGGGCAGGACGCTGCAAGCCCTTCAGAGGGCCACCTCCCAGCTCGGTGTTCCTTCCTGTCTCCCAGGGGGCCCCGGCATGGGTGGATCATAATAACAACTCATGTCTCTACAGCACTGATTCTGTGCCGCCCCCGTTCTGAGTGTTTCTACATGTATGAACTCACTCACTTGATCACTCCAAAAAATACTGCTATAATTCCCGCTTTATAGATGAGGAAACTGAGGCACAGGGGGATTGAATAGCTTACCCCAAATCCCAGTGAGTAGGTGGTGGAGCTGGGATTTGGACACAGGCTGTTAGGCACCAAAGACCACATTCTCAGCCTTTGTGTTCTGCTGGTTTCTCTGGAATGAGGAGCACCCTGGGAAGGATTAGGGTCCGAATGGCTTGGCCTCCAGGCCCCAGCAACCTCTGTTCTTGGAAAGGGATTGGAGGGAGTATCTGAATTAGCATTTAGTTCTCCCTTCCCTTCCCTTTCCTTTCCCTCCCCTCCCCTCCTCTTCCCTTCTTCCTTTCTTACTTCCTTCCCCCTCCCCCTCCCTCCCCCTCCCTCCTCCTCCTCCCCGCTCTTCTTCCCCATCCTTCCTTCCTTCCCTCCCTCACTTCCTCTCTTTCTCTTTCTTTTTTTTCTTTTTTCTATTTTTTTTTTCAAAGATGGGGTTTCACCATGATGGCCAGGCTGGTCTTGAACTCCTGACCTCAGGTGATCCACCCACCTCGGCCTCCCAAAGTGCTAGGATTACAGGCGTGAGCCACCGCGCCCGGCTTTTCTTTTCTTTTGGAGACAGAGTTTCACTCTTATTGCCCAAGCTGGAGTGCAATGTTGTGATCTCAACTTACTGCAACCTCCAACTCCCGGGTTCAAGCAATTCTGCCTCAGTCTCCCCAGTAGCTGGGATTACAGGAGCCCACCACCACACCTGGCTAATTGTTGTATTTTTAGTAGAGACAGGGTTTCACCATGTTGGCCAAGCTGGTCTCAAACTCCTGGCCTCAAGTGATCTGCCCGCCTCAGCCTCCCAAAGCGCTGGGATTACAGGCGTGAACCTCGGCATCCGGCCTGAATTCACATTTTCTTTTTTTGAGACGGAGTTTCACTCTTGTTACCCAGGCTGGAGTGCAATGGCGCGATCTCGGCTCACCGCAACCTCCGCCTCCTGGGTTCAGGCAAATCTCCTGCCTCAGCCTCCTGAGTAGCTGGGATTACAGGCACGTGCCACCATGCCCAGCTAATGTTTTGTATTTTTAGTAGAGACGGGGTTTCACCATGTTGACCAGGATGGTCTCGATCTCTTGACCTTGTGATCCACCCGCCTTGGCCTCCCAAAGTGCTGGGATTACAGGCTTGAGCCACAGGCACGGGCCAGCAGGGGGAGGCAGGGGAGGCAGGGGAGGCCGTCCTGCCTCTAGCCCAAGACAGGAGCTTCAGGAGCAGGCGGTGGTTCAGAGGCACATCTGGGGAGGGCGCAAGGAAGGAGGCGACAGGTCCAGCCCATGCCAGAACCACAACTCCCCCTGTCCCCTACCCGCATAGGTGGGTGTTTGTCTACGAGAAGGGCTACCAGACGTCCAGCGGCCTCATCAGCAGTGTGTCTGTGAAACTCAAGGGCCTGGCCGTGACCCAGCTCCCCGGCCTCGGCCCCCAGGTCTGGGATGTGGCTGACTACGTCTTCCCAGCACAGGTGAGCTGGCTTGGGGCTGCGCCTGCCCTCACAGGGCCTGTCTTGGAGCGGGTGGGGCTCTGTCCCACCTCCTTGTGGGAGCAGCCCAGCTCCTCTTTCTCTCTGGGCCTCGGCGATGCTGTGCAGAAGCAGCCTGGTGATGTCACCCCATGTTGGTGGCAGGGGGCGTGATGGCTGCTGGGTGTCCTGTGGGCTCTAGGGGTCTGCTGGGGCAGCGCTGGGTCCTTGGGCTCCTCTCCCAGCTCCCAGCCCACCCCACCCTCCCCTGCCCCTCATTTCTAGGGAGACAGCTCCTTCGTGGTCATGACCAATTTCATCGTGACCCCAAAGCAGGCCCAAGGCTACTGTGCAGAGGTGAGCACTTCTGCCCACCAGCCCCTTCCCAGACTCACAGAGGAAAATGACCTGCAGGGAAAGTCTCCGTGGGCACCGGAGAGGAAGCTCAGGATGCTTCCGCAGGGGCCACGGCGGTGGAAATCTGGGCGTGTACTCACACGCAGTCACTGTCAGGCCCTGCAGAGCTGAGCCTTCCCAGTACTCGGTGTACCTGGCAGCATGCGGAGACTGCCCACCCCCACCCCCAGCTGACACCGGCAGTGGGTGGCTGGGCAGGAGCCTGGGGTGGGGGAAACGGGGAAGGAGGCTGTGAGTGGGCGTCACCCCAGAGAGGTCGGAGACTCTGCCCCACACCCCCCTAGGGCCCTGGCGGCGGGAGGGACCTAAGGCCAGCAGCTCTTGCCTCCCCCAGCACCCAGAAGGTGGCATATGCAAGGAAGACAGTGGCTGCACCCCTGGAAAAGCCAAGAGGAAGGCCCAAGGTAAGGTCAGCCTCCTCCTGTCCCTCCACAGCCCCCGGCTGTAGCCCTGGCGTCCTGCAGGCCCAGCTCACTGCTGACCAGCGTCTCCCCACACCCCTCCCGCCGAGGCGTCCTCTGAGAGGGGCTCCCTCCTGCCCTCTCCCGTCCTCCACCCTGTCCCAGACCCAGACACGTTTCTGTCCTCGGCTCCTTTGCTTGGGTGCCTGTTGCTGGGGGCCCCTGGGGAAGGGGCCTGGGCGGCCTCCTCTGCACCCTCAGTTTGGGGCGGGCACCCAGGGGTTCCTCTCTGGCCGCAGGCATCCGCACGGGCAAGTGTGTGGCCTTCAACGCCACTGTGAAGACGTGCGAGATCTTTGGCTGGTGCCCCGTGGAGGTGGATGATGACATCCCTCGGTAACACTGACCTTCCGGGGAGCCAGCACAGGGTCCCAGGCCAGGCAGAGGGGGACCTGCGTCTAGAAAGGACCTTTACCCCCTTTCTGACCCCACCCCCACCCCGTCCGCAAGACCTGGGCCGAAGATTCCCCCGGGCCTTGGCCGGTTACAGCACACCCACCCCTCCACCCACCCAGGGCTGAGGAGGGTCCCGGATGCACGCCCCACCCCTGCTATGTCACGCTCTGCCTGGGACACACAGGGGGCCCCTGGGGAGGAGCGGATGAGTGAGTGTGATGTCCTCCAGCCCTGCCCTTCTCCATGAGGCCGAGAACTTCACTCTCTTCATCAAGAACAGCATCAGCTTCCCACGCTTCAAGGTCAACAGGTGCGTGGGAAATTCGGCCAGAAGTTCAGGCGGCTGTCCGAGACTGTCCCGGCTGCTCTCAGCTGTCTCTGTCTCCCTCCATTCTTGCTGGCATGGAAGAAATCGAAGGGGCACTGTGGAGCCCATAAGGGGTCCCCAGGCTTTTGGGGGTGGTGGGCACCGTCCCAGATGGCACACCGCTGCTGTCAACACCTTCCACCCGGACAGGCGCAACTTGGTGGAAGAGGTGAATGCCGCCTACATGAAGACCTGCCTCTACCACAAGACCCTGCACCCGCTGTGCCCCGTTTTCCAGCTTGGCTATGTGGTGCAAGAGTCAGGCCAGAACTTCAGCACACTGGCTGAGAAGGTACGGGGCATGGTGCCAGGCGAGCGGGGAGGGCAGGGCCGCAGGATCCTGATCAAGGCTGCTTAGGCCCATTGCATCTTCCCGTCTCCTTGGTGAGGGCTGAGTGTATGTATGGGTCTGTCCCCTGATACTAGGGCCCCTGAGAGTCAGATCTGTGTCTTCAGCAGGTCCTGGCATGGACCTGGCACAAAGGAGGTACCCAGAATGAACAGATGTGGGCAGACCTTGTCACCTGGATGTTTGTTGATGTCTTGCTTTAAAAACAAAACATTAGATAGGGCCGGGCGCGGTGGCTCAAGCCTGTAATCCCAGCACTTTGGGAGGCGGAGGTGGGAGGATCACTTGAGGCCAAGAGTTTGAGACCAGCCTGCCAACATAGTGAAACCTCCTTCTCTACTAAAAATACGAAAATTAGCTGGGTGTGGTGGAATGTGCCCATAATCCCATCTATTCGGGAGGCTGAGGCAGGAGACTCATTCGAATCCAGGAGGCAGAGGTTGCAGTGAGCTAGGATTGTGCCATTGTACTCCAGCAGGGCGACACAGTGAGACTCCATCTCAAAAACAAACAAACAAAAAAAAAAAAAAAAACAGTCTGGCCAGTGAAACCTCGTCTCTATTAACAATATAAAAACTGGCTGGGCACAGTGGCTCATGCCTGTAATCCTAGAACTTTGGGAGGCCAAGGTAGGCGGATCACCTGAGGTCAGGAGTTCAAGACCAGCCTGACCAATATGGTGAAACCCTGTTTCTACTAAAAATACAAAAAAAATTAGCTGGCTGTTGTGGTGTCCACCTGTAGTCCCAGCTACTCAGGAGGCTGAGGCAGGGGAATTGCTTAAACCCAGGAGGCGGAGGTTGCAGTGAGCTGAGATGGCACCACTGCACTCCAGCCTGGGTGACAGAGCAAGACTCTATAAAAAAAAAATTATATATATATATATACACATATATATATACACACAAAAAAATTATCTGGGTATGGTGGTGGGTGCCTGTAATCCCAGCTACTCAGGAGGCTGAGGCAGGAGAGTCGCTTGAACCCGGGAGGTGGAGGCTGCAGTGAGCTGAGATCGCGCCATTGCACTCCATCCTGGGCGACAGAGCAACTCCATCTTAAAAAAAAAAAGATAAAATCAGCTAGAATCCTATAGCCTATGGCCCTGAGAAATCCTGTGCCCCTGAGATCTTTGCAGTCACCTGCGACTCCAGAGAAGCAGTCCCTATGAGCACAGAACTGGCTGACCGGGTTCCAATCCCAGCTCTGCCGCAAACAAGCAGTGGGAACTCAGACAAGTCTCTAAACTTCAGTGGGGCTGAGTTTTTGCCCCATCAAGTGGGGGCAATCATGGCGCCGTTCTCATGGGGTTGTCCCTAGGGTCCAGTGAGTTGACTCGCTGCGTCTGGCATGCCCCGATGCCAAGCATGTGGCAGGCCTATCCAGCTGCTACTGATAAGGTCAGTGCTCCTTATCAGCCCTGCTCCTGCAGTTGCCTATTCAGGGACAAAATCCGTCCCTTTTCTGTGATGTTACCAAAAAACCCCACTCACAGGCTGGGCGCAGTGGCTCACGCCTGTAATCCGAGCACTTTGGAAGGCCGAGGCAGGTGGATCACAAGGTCAGAAGTTCAAGACCAGTCTGGCCAAGATGGTGAAACCCCATCTCTACTAAAAAAAAAAAAAAAAAAAATTAGCTGGGTGTGGTGGCACATGCCTGTAATCCCAGCTACTCAGGAGGCTGAGGCAGGAGGAATGCTTGAACCCGGGGATGGAGGTTGCAGTGAGCTGAGATCGTGCCCCTGCGCTCCAGCCTGAGTGACAGGGTGAAAATAAATGAATAAGTAAATAAATTGAAAATAAATAAATAAAAATGAAATGGTCAGAAAGCTACAGTGTGGAGAGTAATTAGAAGGCTGGAGAGGGTGATAGGACCTTTACCCCAAAACAGCTTCTCAGTGTCTTTTTTCAAATAAAAAATGTTCTTTTTTTTTTTTTTTTTTGACATGGAGTCTCACTCTGTCACCCAGGTCACCCAGGCTGGAGTGCAGTGGTGTGATCTCAGCTCACTGCAACCTTTGCCTTCGGCGTTCAAGCAATTTTCCTGCCTCAGCCTCCCAAGTAGCTGGGATTACAGGCGCTGCCACCACGCCTTGCTGATTTTTGTATTTTTAGTAGAGATGGGGTTTCACCATGTTGGCCAGGCTGGTCTTGAACTCCTGACCTCAGGTGATCCACCCGCCTCGGCCTCCCAAAATGCTGGGATTACAAGCATGAGCCACCTTGCCCAGCCAAGATGGGGATTTTTGATCCTGAAACCCCAGCTCTTAACCACTTGTGTCCCTGGCAGGGCGGCGTGGTTGGTATCACCATCGACTGGCACTGTGACCTCGACTGGCACGTGCGACACTGCAAACCCATCTACGAGTTCCATGGGCTATACGAGGAGAAAAACCTCTCCCCAGGCTTCAACTTCAGGTGTCTGTTAGCCCCCACACCCCAGCCATTCTTCCTGGTGGTCCTGCAGGGTCTCCTACTCCCCCAACCCTTCGTGGCTGAAAAAGCGTCCCCAGAGGGGAGCAGAGGGTCTGCACGGCTCCTACTGTGCCTTCCTCCCATGTAGAAAGCCAGCAGGGAGTGAGACGTTGAAGTCTCCAATCCTCTGTCCCTGGGTCTCAGTCCCTTTGAGGTTCACCTAGCCAGGACTAGCTGGAGAAATTGCTGACATCAGGAGCTGGGGCAATGGTCGGGCACAGTGGCTCATATCTGTCATTGTGGAACCTCAGGAGGCTGAGGTGGGAGGATGGCTTTGAGACCAGGAGTCTGAGGCTGCCATGAGTTGTGATTACACTACTGCACTGCAGGCTGGGTGACAGAATGAGACCCCATCTCTTTAAAACGAACAAACAGCTGGGCGCAGTGGCTCACGCCTGTAATCCAAGCACTTCGGGAGGCTGGGGCAGGTGGATCACAAGGTCAGGAGTTCGAGACCATTCTGGCCAACATGGTGAAACCCGTCTCTACTAAAAACACAAAAATTAGCAGGGTATGGTGGCACATGCCCGTAGTCCCAGCTACTCGGGAGGCCGAGGCAGGAGAATCACTTGAACCCGGGAGGCGGAGGTTGCAGTGAGCCAAGATAGAGCCATTGCACTTCACCCTGGGTGACAGAGTGAGACTCAGTCTCAGAAAACAAACAAAAGCAAGGAGTTGGGGCAAGAGCTGGGTACAACTTTCCCAGAATGAGGCCCGGGAGCCTGCCGGGGCTGGGGATCGGGCTGTATTTAGTGACCGCTAAGGCTCCTGCATCCCTGCTCTGCTGAGAAATCCAGACCCAAGACAGTCCCCTCCATCACCCTCCTGCCACCTCAAGGTTTGCCAGGCACTTTGTGGAGAACGGGACCAACCACCGTCACCTCTTCAAGGTGTTTGGGATTCGCTTTGACATCCTGGTGGACGGCAAGGTGAGCGTCCGGCGTGAGTGTGCTGGCAGCTGAGACACGTTCTTGGCTCCTATGAGTACCTCTGGGCGTCTACACTTACAGACGTCCGGAAGTTGGATGGGTTCATCCTGCAGTTTTACTTCTAATAACAGACGGGGCGTGGGGGCTGTCCAGGACAGGGCTTTGCAACCTGTGGCCAGGCCTCCCCCACAGTCCCCTTGGGCCCAGGGAGGCAGAGCCAAGGTCGAAACCCAGGTCTACTGACCAGTAGCTGTCGGTGCACATAGAGTCAGAGGCAGGGGCGGTTCACAGCTGAGGGTGGGAAGTACCCTTGACCCTTTCCCAGCTGGGCCCCTTCCGACTGGTAGCCCTTCTCTCCCTGGGTCCTTCCACCAGGCCGGGAAGTTTGACATTATCCCCACGATGACCACCATCGGCTCTGGGATTGGCATCTTTGGGGTGGTAAGTGCTGGGGTCACCGGGTCACCGTGCTGTGTCGGCCCCTCCTCTTCCACAAGTCAGTAGCAGCAAGACACCCCTCACCCCAAAACTTGACCCTAACTGCCTATCATTTCTGGGCCAGCAGCTGCCCACCCCACCACACACAGCAGATCTAAGAAAACCAAGGCCCAGAGCTGGGGTACAGTGGCTCGTACCTACAATCGTGGCACCTTGGGAGGCCAAGGTGGGAGGCTGGCTTTGAGGCCAGGAGTCTGAGGCCGCAGTGAGCTGTGATTACACTGCTGCACTCCAGCCTGGCAGCTGAATGAGACCCCCCTGTCATTCTGTCAGGGTGGAACTATCTTGGTCCCCTGAGAGTCCTGCAGGGCCTCGTCCACCCTCCAGGAAACAGGCCTCCAGTGAGGAGGGATTCGGCCAGGCCACAGCGTCAGGGACTGAGCGGGGATGTGGCGGGCTCTGTGCCTGCCTCCGGATTCCCACGCTGTCTCCGCACCCTTCCCTGACTCCAGGCCACCGTCCTCTGTGACCTGCTGCTGCTTCACATCCTGCCCAAGAGACACTACTACAAGCAGAAGAAGTTCAAGTACGCCGAGGACATGCGGCCAGCGGAGGTGAGGGAGCTCCCTGAGCCCGGCCCTCGGAGCCTCCGGCACGGGCGTCTGTGTTGCGGGGAGCGGGCAGCTGCTTCCCCAGCACCGACTTGTGTCCCCCAAACTTGCACCACACACACAGGGTGAGCGTGACCCCGCCGCCACCAGCTCCACCCTGGGCCTGCAGGAAAACATGCGGGTATCCTGATGCCACCCCGACTCCCGAGGCAGAGGGTCTCCGCAGGAAGTCTCCTACCCTCTCGGCCAGGCACATACCAGTTTGCCAGAAGCTCAGGGTGCAAACTAGGAGAGATGTGTGCCAATCTGAGCTCTGGCTCCAACTCCACACCCCCCAAGGGAGCCTGCCCAGGTCTCAGCCACTCCTGGGGGGGAAGGGCTGGGCTGGGCAGGCTCCCACACACCTGTACGCTAGCTTCGCGTTTCTCTCTCTGGACCCTCACGATCCATCCCTCTGCCTCCGTTCCTCCAGCTCTGGGCTCTCCAATGTGGCAGTGGATAACCATAGGCGACTAAATTAAACTAAAATAAAATCAATGAAACACAGCATTCACTTCCTCAGTTGAACTAGCCAGATTTCAGCTGCTCAGTAGGCACGTGTGGCTAGTGGCTGCCATATTGGACGGTTCGGGGCATTTTCACCATCGAAGAAAGTTCTGTGAGACGGCTCTGCTTGAGCCCTGTTTCCTCCTGGCCTTGGGCTTCCCTGGGAAACGTTTCGACCATGCAGGCTCCTGGGTCTAGCCCAGACCTCTGAAACCACAGGCCCAGGGCTGGCCATATGACCTGCACGGACGGCAAACTCCCCAGGCCATTCTGGGACCTAAGCTGAAGAACTACTGTCCTTGAACTTCTTTTTTTTTTTTTTTTTTTTTGAGACGGAATCTCACTCTGTCACCCAGGCTGTAGTGCAGTGGAGCAATCTCAGCTCACCACAACCTCTGCCTCCCGGGTTCAAGCGATTCTCCTGCCTCAGCCTCCTGAGTAGCTGGGATTACAGGCACCTGCCACCAAGCCCGGCTAACTTTTGTATTTTTAGTAGACATGGGGTTTCATCATGTCGGCCAGGCTGGTTTTGAAGTCCCGACCTTGTGATTTGCCCACCTTGGCCTCCCAAAGTGCTGGAATTATAGACATGAGCCACCGTGCCCCGTCATGAACTTTCTGACCCTAAGCTCCTGAGCTTGCACTGCCTGGCAGGTGCAGACACGGAGTAGGGTCCTGGACACCTCCAGTGTGTGTGTTGTATGCCCATGTGCCACACGGTGTCATGCACACAGCTGGCATACACACTGCCCACATGCGCGCAGCGTCCTTCCACGCTGTGTCTGTGAACAGCTGGGGCCTGTCAAACACCACCATCTAAACACACCTCCACCCCCACGCACAGACTCAGGGTCCATGCCACATCACCTCCACAGGGAAAAGCCTCTCTCCAAGAGTGCCAGGCCGGGCCAGCCCTTCTAGCCACGAATCCTTACGCAGCTACCTCGGGTTGGGGTGGGAGCTCCAGCCACATCGTGGGCTCCCTGCCTGTGGCTCAGCCCCCGCTCCCAAGGCCTGCCCGGCTTTGTCTGAACAGAAGGTCTGGGGAAAGCGAGGGGTGGAGTACAATAAAGGGAGTGAGGACAGACCTCTGCCTTCCATCCTTTCTTTCCAGACCTCTCTGTGACTCAGTGTGCTGGTCTGTGAAACGTGGGGCTGAGCTGGGCAGTCTCCGAGATCCCTCTGGATCTGCTGGGGGTGGGGAGGGACCAGTGAGCCGACTCATACGCCCTGAGCCCAGCAGGGCCAGCGCTGGGTGGGGACGTCAGCTCACCCCTGTCCGCGGGCTGCTGTCTTGGCACAGCCCTGACATCGGCACTCTCCCTAAGCCTCCCGGCTGTGAGAGGTCTGGCACTGGGACAAGTAGAGAATCCCAGGAGTGGCCTTGTGAAACAGTGGGGAGGAAGGGGCTGGCTGTCCAGGAGGGAGATCTGGGGGAAGCCCAAAGAGAGGAGGAGGTCTTGACTGAGACAGTGTGGAGGGCGCTGCTCTGGGCATGACTTCCGGGTCTGGACTTATAGCCAGAGAGGCTCTCTGGGCTGCGTCCCCCCCAGTCACCATGCACTGTCTAAACCAGTGCCGTCTAGTAACACTTTCTAAAACGTGCCGAGCGCGGTGTCTCACACCTGTAACCCCAGCACTTTGGGAGGCTGAGGTGGTCAGATCACAAGGTCAAGAGATGGAGACCATCTTGGCCAACATGGTAAAACCCCGTCTCTACTGAAATTACAAAAATTAGCTGGGCGTGGTGGCGGGCGCCTGTAATCCCAGCTACTCGGGAGGTTGAGGCAGGAGAATCACTTGAACCTGGGACGCGGAGGTTGCAGTGAGCCGAGATCATGCCACTGCACTCCAGCCTGGGCGACAGAGCAAGACTCTGTCTCAAAAAAAGAAAACTTTCTACAATGATGGAAACATTCTCTATATGTGCTGTCCAACTGGGTACCCAATAGCCACAGGTGGCCTTGGTGGAAATGTGTAGCCAAGGAAATGAAATTTGTATTTTATTTACTTTTAATAATATTAATAATGATAATTATCTTTGAGACGGAGTTTTGCTCTGTCACCCAGGCTGGAGTGCAGTGGTGCGATCTCAGCTCACTGCAGCCTCCACCCCCTGGGTTCGAGCAGTTCTCCTGCCTCAGCCTCGCAAGTAGCTGGGATTACAGGTGCCTGACACCACACCTGGCTAGTTTTATTGTATTTTTAGTAGAGATGGGGTTTTGCCACGTTGGCCAGGCTGGTCTTAAACTCCGGACCTCAAGTGATCCACCTGCCTCGGCCTCCCAAAGTGCTGGGATTACAAGATTGAGCCACTGTGACTGGCCAGTTTACTTGTAATTAATTTAAATAGTTACAGGTGACTAGTGGCTGCCAGACTGGATGACACAGGCCAGCCCCTGTCGTCTCCCTCAGGCCCTTGGCCTTCTGCCGTCTTCCCCAACCAAGAACCATCACTTACAAGACTAGAACTCCCTCTTCCGCCCTCCCTTCCTTCTCCAGACCCACCTGCTTTTGCACCCCCTGCGCCCTTCCCTTCCGAGTGAAGAGAAAAGGGCCCCTCCTCTGTATTCGGCCTCGCTACCCAGCCGCAGGCTGCACAGCAGAAGCCACCCCCGTTCTCCCAGCCCTACACCTGCTCCCCTCTTCTGCCTCCTCTGGCCCAGGTTCCCCAGCAGCTCCGTCCACTCTCCCCTCGCTGCAACCCTTCCAGAAAGGCCAGTCCACGCTTCCCTCTGCAACTGGCCGCCACCCACCACTTCTCCCTGATGCCCTTGCCAAGGTCACCGGAGGTGTCCCGGTTGCCATATCTAAGCAGACCCTTTGGCCCCATATCCTGCTTGGCCTGACAGCATCTGGCATCGTGGTGCAAGCCCTCCTTGTGAAAAGGTTTCCTTCCAGCAGCTCCCAGGACACACCCTTTCCTGATTTTCCAGCCTGTCTGGTGTGCGAGGAAAAGACAGTTTTCAGCTGCAGCTCTGCCACAGTTCACTGTGTGTCCTTGGGGAAGTGGCTTAGCTCTCCAAGCCTCCTCTGTGAGTCGAGGATAAATAACAGCTTTTTTTTTTTCTTTTTTTTTAATAGAGACAGTTTCACTATGTGGAACAGGCTGGTCTCGAACTCCTGGCCTCAAATGATATGCCGACCTCAGCCTCCCAAAGTGCTGAGATTACAGGCAGGAGCTACCGCACCCGGCCAATAGTAGTTTTTAGTAGGGATGAGAAAAGACATGTAAACGGAGCCTGGCGTACAGTCGTGCTCTGCTCCTCCAGCCATCCACCCTCTCAAAGGTGGAGTCCGCTAGTTGTTCCGGATGTCTGTTCTCCCTGTAGCAATTCAGTCCTTGGTTCTTGGCTGAGCATGTGGTTACCCAGAATGGAAGCTGCATTTCCCAGCTTCCTCTTGCAGCTGGATCTGGTCACCTGACTAAGCTCATGTAGTGTATGTGAAAGTGTCACGTGGCAACTTCTGGGAACTTTCCTGAAAAGAGAGCTGGTGCAGTTCCTCTGCCCTCTTCTTCATCCTTTTCTCCACTCTACTGCCTGGAACACATGTGTGATTGCTGGAGCTCTAGCCGCTATCTTGAACCATGAGGTCAAAAGCTACACCCACAAGTTGCTAGAATTGTTCATTCAACAATCATCCATTGAGCACCTGTGCCATGTGACAGGCTGTGTGCTGGATGAATCAGGCACAGTGCTTGCCATCAAGGAGCTTCTAGTCCTGATGACAAACAGGCAGGTAGACAGAAGCCAGGTACAAGAAGTACCTTGGAAAGGTTACTAACCCATGCCGGGAAGTGGGGAGGTATGGAGAACGTTTCCTGGCAGAAGGGGCATTGAAGTGAGCCCAGAAACACCAAGCAGGCGTTAAACAGGCAGGTGGTTGGGAGTAAGGTTATACAGGGCTTGATCGGACCTATTCTCAGGGTAGCCGTGAGCCACAGAAGAGGCCTAAGCAGGAGCTAATTCTGTGAATTTTGTTCCTGAAAACTTGCCAGGTAGAGAAAGGCTAGAAGGACGTGCGCTGAAAGGGGCTGGAGGCCAGTGAGGAGGCCACTGTGGCAATGAGGGGCAGGGGGGTAGTAGCCTGACGTAACGGAGGGGACTTGGGGTGGAGAGGCATGGGCAGATTCTGGGGATACTTACGAGGCAGCATGGCAGGGCCTGGAGATGGCTGGATGGAGCTGGAACCAGGCTGCAGGTGACTCCCAGGCTCCTGGCTCCACTTCCAGACCCGGACACAGGAGGTCAGGCTTGCGGAAGGACATGGGGCAAGGGGTAATGCTAGAGTTTTCACTCCCGGAGGCGTTAGGGGACGAGATGGAGGCAGAGTCCCCAGGAACAGCCACGGGGAAGGTCACCATGCCCTGTTGAGTTCCCTCCATTCCCTGGGGCCCCTCTAGGCCATCCTGTCGGCCGCTCCCCGAGCCGGCACTTGGTTCTGTGCTGAGCCACCTCTCAGTCTCCCTGCCCCCGCCCCGCAGCAGCTACACTCTGGGCCTGCCGTTCAAGGCCTTCCTCCGGGCCTCGCCCCTCCCTCGCACGCACCGCGCCTAGCCCGGGAGGGAGGGACGCCCTGGCTCCCGCAGGCCGGGATCGGGGCGCAAAGGGTCTGGCGAGGAAGCCCCGTGCCCTGCAGGCCCAGGTGAAGGGCCCGCACGGCGGCCTGGTGGGACTTCGGGGGCCCAGAGCAGGGGAAGGAGCGCCCCTCCCGCGCGGCCCGCCGCGATCCCCCAGTCGCGGAGGCGGCGGGAGTCCCGGGCTGTGATTGGACGGCGCTGGCGGGGCCGTTCGGCCCGACCAATGAGCGCGGGCCGGGCGCGGCGGTGGGCGGGGCGGCTAGTGCCGCCGGGAGCCGCGGCACCCGCGGGCTGAGCTCGGCGATCCGGGCCCCGGCTAGGCGGCGGGGCGGGGCGGGCGCGCAGCGGGAGCGAGCTGGGCCGCCCCCGGGCCGCGGAGACTGTCGCCCGGTTCCCAGGTAGGGATCGGCGGGGAGGGG